CAGCTCGTTAGCCCTGCCTTTGTCTCAGTCAGCTATGTATTCTCTCCCTCTGCTGTCTCTCCTTGTTGGTTCCTTGTCGTTGCTGGCTTCTCATGTTGTCGTCTTCCTGCTTCGTCTCTCCCTGGCTCCTTGTGTTTGGTTTCCCCTGATGTCTCCATGGTTCTGCCTCTCTGCCTCTGCATTTTGGGTCCTCAAACCAACCAAAACGTGACAATGATGTGAAATTTAAGCTTGTGTTATGATCATGGGAAAAACAAATATCTGCCCTGAAATGTACAGGCCATCGGATTCCCTCTGAAAAAGAGAAGGTGCAGAAGAATAGGGAAAATATTGCATGTTTTTTTATAACCATTTTAGAAACTGAACAGTAAACGAATATGAAATATTCACTTTTATTTTTAAAAGGCTTAGATGAGCAAAGTTTATCCATTTTATAGGGGATGTTTTTAAATAAATGTGCTAAGAATCAACCAAAATCATCTGAAGCTATTAAATCATGTGCTGGTGAAGATCCCCAGTCATCCAGGTCATTCCAAAAAAGTTAAAAAACACAAAAGATGCCAAACGACCCCCATTCCAAAGGGGTGGACCCGTTCATCAAAAACACGGCTTTGTTGGTCCCCTCTATAAGGCCTGGAACTCAACACTATTTCTGACATTTTGAATTGAAAAAGCTTCCTGGATGGAAGAAAAACGTCTTTTAACTTGGAAACAGTTCAGGTCCAGTGGATTGTTTTTTAACTTTGGAATTAATATTAAATCATGGTAAAAAAAACAAAAAAAACAAAGAAGGTTGTTAGGAGGCACATTGTTTTTTTTTTTTTTTTTACAATCATTTCCATTTTTATTAAACAATTGCTAAAAGCATTCATTATATTTTGAAATTATATTTACGTTTTTCGTGTTATAGACACAAACTTTGTCAAAACACGATATAACATAGCTATATCTACAATAGATACAGGAATATCACTGAAAAACAGGCCCAAATTTATCATCTCTAACCAAAGGTGTTAATGGCAGTCGCCCAGCTGCTATTTCTCTCTGAGATGCTGTCACAACCAAACACGAATAGTTCAGATTAAGCTACTATGATGAGGAAAAAGCAGAGGAAATATGAATTTAGAGGTTAAACCAACAAATACTGCAGAAGAGGAAATAGAGATAANTTTTCTTCATGTAGTTGCGCTTTGCTTTATGTAGTTTTGTTTTCTTAATGTAGTTGCAATTTCCTTAATGTAGTTGCGCTTTTAGATTTGTAGTTGCAGTTTGCACTTCAGGGCCACCATATATTTACCTCTAATCATGGAAATCTAAAAAAATGTGCAACTTTGGGTGTGCTTTGGTGCGGAGGCCCACCTGGGTTCAAATCCAACCTGTGGTCCTTTGTTGTATGTCTCTCCCCATCTTTCATACGGCCTTTCCTGTCAGCCTCCTGTCCAAAAAAACGAGCCACTAGTGCCGTAAAAAAAACACAAAATGTGCATTTTCGACGTCTTAGTTTTTTATTTTTTATTATTGAAATTAATTTCATTTGTTTTGGCAAAAATATATACCTCTTTTTTAATCTACGAGGGCGCTAACATTCAGTTTGACCAGAGACACATTAAATGTTTTGTTTTTGGTCCGTGTTTCACAGGGAAGGATGGTTTACCTCCTACTGCCTGTATTTTCTGTGTAAATAATCAGCAGTTTTATGTAAATAAAGATCCCTTTTGGACTCGCTGTTAGTTTCAGGCTGTTAGTTTCATCCTTAATTAACGAAACTATCTCTTTCTTTCACTTCTCGTCACACAGCCAAAGACTACGTGGACTCAGACCCGTCTGGTCGCAAAGGGCTGCCCATCACCACCATCAAGCAGGGCGCAGAGCCTCCCACTTTCACAGGTTGGTTCCAGGCCTGGGATGCCAAGATGTGGGACAAGGATCCACTGGATAGAATCCGCGCCCGCTTCTGAACACAGCCTTATCCTCTGCACTCTGCCCTTTTTTCTATCAGCTCTCTACATTACAGTATAATTCCTGCTTTAATCAAATACCTAAGTGCCAATACCAATGTTATTACATTTATGAGGTTGAATAGCTCCACTATGGTTCATTCATCTCTCAGTTTGGGCTTCTTGCCTTTGGATTGTCAGGAAGAACCTGAATAAAATATAAACAGCTCGTCTGTCCTGTTTCTATCTCTTAGCGCTGCATTCTTCGGTTTATAAACTAGTAGCGAAACCATCTCCATTACCTGTTATTTCTTTGTGCATCATGTTTAGTTAAACAGAACATATTCCAGGAATTACATCCTACTCTTTGTTGTTGACTTTTCTGCTTGTTAATTTTAAAACATGCTCTGTAAGATCTGTAGACGGAATATTTGTCTTCATGGCTTTTTAAATCACCCTGATATATTCATGTGAATGGCTTTTAAATAAAACTTTTTAGTTTAAAGCTTTTGGTCTTTGATCCTTTATTTAAGGATTGACATGGTTTTGGTTCTGTTGTGCTTTACTTCGCTCCATGTTTTCTAGTTTTATTGGTTTATTTCCTGTTTTGTTGTAGTTT